AAACGATATTGTCTACTCCCAACCTTACTCTGAGTAACTTAAAGGAGTTACTCATCCTCTTTGAGGGATTTTTATATCAGGAAACATTCATGTACGTTCAATTTAGTCCTATCTTACTTACCTGGTGTTACTGAAGAAGAGAGTTATTTCACACAGCAGAAAATTCCAGATACAATAAAGATTCCTTCAAATGACTTGTGAAGATTTAAATTTTAAAATTAAACCCTTAAAAAAATATACACATATACAAAGTTAAATAGTTTTATGTTTATGGCAAAATAAGTCTCTGGTGCCTATCTCTAAACTACACCTTTTCCTTCCTTCCTCTTTTTGCAGGCTGGGGACTGGTCCCAGGGCCTTCATACTGAGTGACATTCCCAGGCTTTTTTGTTTTTTATTTTGAGACAGGGTCTCACTGAGTTACCCAAGTGAGACTTGAACTTGGGATTACGGCGAGTGTCACCTTGCCCAGGTAACCGCAACCTAATTCTTGTTGCCCAAGGGCAATCATTTTTCATCTTCCCGCTGTCTTATCCAGCACTAAATCTTCTGGTCACACACTCCCAACCCCTTGTGCACAGAGCTTCTCATGCTCTTAATATTTCATAATCTTGTTTAAAATACATTTTGGCTTTTAGTTAATATAAAATTTATAAATGTTTACAGTGGAGTCAGCAAAGAACCATGCTTAAATTCTTTTCTTGTATAACTTCTTAAAAATCCATGGAACTTTTTTTTTTTTTTTTTTTAGTTTACTGTTTTCTGTGTGCCTATCATCAATTCATCCACAAACTTCTGTATTGGAATGAATCTTCCTTGGCGAAAAACATGGAGTTCTTCCGTTTCTTATTTCAACTTAGAATGGTTGCATTTTCAGTTTTCCTGTATGGCTATTCCTTGGGATAAAATTAACCCTCACTTTGGGAATTCTTCTTTGCTATATCACATTTTCTGTTTCCTAAACCTAATGTCCTCCTCCTTCCCAGTTTACTCTTTGGTTTACTGGAGTTACACGCTATAAAATTCACTTTTTAGCTGCACAGTTCGGTAAGTCTGGATACAGTACTATAACCCTGACTGTAACACAGACATACAACATCTTCACCATTGCAGAAGGGTCCTTCCCTGTGTCCCTCTAGTAATCGTCTCCCACGCCTCCAGTCCCGGAGCAACTACTGACCTGATTTCTGTCCCTGAAAGGCAGCCTTTTCCAGAATGGAACCATACCGGACCTGTCTCCAGACCTCTGTATCTGGCTACTCTCACTCAGCACAATGAAATGAGGTTTTCCTAGGTTCCTGCAGGCGCAGTTCTCTATCCACTTGCTAGCTAGGGGTACTTGGGGTTATCTCCAGCACTTGGGGACTATGAATAAAGACCACATGCAGGTTTTGCTCAGACACATTTGTATTTCTCTTAGGTAAATACCTATCAGTGGAACTCTTTGGTACTCTCTTAGTGTATGTTTAACTTCTAAAACTACCAAACTACAGTATTTTCAAAGCAGCTGTACCAATTCACACGTGTCCTAGCAACGTAAGAGAATACTAGTTGTTCGGAATCCTCATCAGGACTGGGCATGGTCAGGTGTTTTCACTTTAGCAATTATAATAGGTGTGAGACAGGGAAAGCAGTATTTTGAAATTTGTACGTTTTTATATATCCTTGGTTTACAGCTTTACATCCAGTTGATGTCTCCCACGATTGAGAATTCTAGATTGGGCATTATACTGTCTCAGAATGTCCCACTGTGGCATGCTTGTAATCCCAGCACTTGGGAGGCTGAGGCAGGAGGATCACCATGAGTTTAAGGCCAGCCTGGGCTAAACAGTGAGAACCTGCCTTGAAAAAAAAAAGAATACCCACCATCTTCTTGTTTCCAGTAACACTAAGCTTGACGTATGGATTTCCACTGCTTGTACGCTACCTGTTTTGTCTCTTCAGAAGCAATCAGGGTGTTCTATCTATATGGAATGTTCTCCAAGTTTCCTTCCCTTTCATTTTCTCATTATGTGTCCTTTCTGGGATCCTCTTTGTTGTTTGTGGGACCAGGTGGATTGACGTGGTGGATTTACTTTTTCTCCTCTATTTTTCATCACTTTATTCTCTGTACCAGGCGGCTTTACCAAATCTATGTCCTAATTATCTGGCTGGATTTTAAACTTCTCTTATTATTATTATTTATTATTATTATTATTATTATTATTATGAAAACTTTTAATACAGATAGGGTCTCATTCAGTTGCCCAGGCTGGGATCGAATTTGCCATCCTCCTTCCCTAGCCTCCTAAGCGCTGGCATTACAAGTATGCACCACCATCCCTGGCTTGAATTGTACACTTTTTATATCCTCATTGCTCTACCAGACCTTCTCCCTCTTTTACATCTCATTACAGGCATAAGGCTCAGTGTCCATTTTTCCATTTCCTGCAGATTTTAGCTTCTGGATCAGCCATGCTAATACTTCTTACAATGTGCATTCTTCTTGCTCATTTCTGTTTTTGCTTCTTTCCATCCCATGATCTTTCATCCTCTACCCTACCACAGCAACTGAACTCACACTTGTATCTGAACCTTGCTACTGCCAGGATTACGCCTTGTAATTTCAATTGCAAGAATCCTAGCTGTGATCCTTCAGTTCATGAGCATGATCCTTCAGTTCATGAGCGTGATGACTGCGTGTTCACACTGTATGGATGAGATGTGCCTCCCTCAAACCTTGTTAAAACGTGGGCACATTGCCTGTCTGACGTGAAGGGAAAAAAAAAAAGAATCCTAGCTGTCTAAACAACTATAGCTGAGGCATACAATAAATTTTTATTCTGTTTTGGATGCGTAGGATTGAATCCAGAGCTCTGAGTGTGCTAAGCATGGGCTCTCCCATCCAAGTACTAGCCAGGTCCGACCATGCTTAGCTTCCGAGATCAGCCGAGATCGGGCGTGTTCGGGGTGGTGCGGCCGTGGACGAAGCATGGGCTCTACCACCGACCTATACCCCAGACCCTGTGTAATGCGTTTTGTGTTCTTAACTTCTAGCCTGTTCCTTCCACATCCCAACTTCAGTAATTCCAAGGCCCACACTACAGCCCCCTGGACCTAGAGTTTCACTGTTCTTTGTCCCTTCCATCTCACCTCCCTGCCTGTCTACCTGCGTCTACGGCCCTTGGTGTAACTACCCCCTGGCCTCTTTCCCTTCCTGGAGCTGCCTGGCAAAACCCCAACCTTGCTGAACCAACTCCTACTGTGCATCTGCATCTGT